GTCGCCAGTATCATTTGTCTGTATAAGACTGATCTGTAGCTTTCCTGACTGAGAATCTAAATTCTGCCTCAGAGCAGTTTTAATATATTTAAGACAATGGGGGTTCTCTTCTTCTCTCTGCAGAAGTACTTTTCTGACTACTGCTTGTCAGAAAACACTGACTCCCAAATGTCTGTTCCCTCAGAAGCCAAACCCTTTGGCTACTGATCCAGATGTCAGATTTCAGACCAAGACCAAAAGGTGAAAGACCAAACAGCGAAAGACCCCTTTTCCCTCAGACTTTGACATAAGCAGCGTTTTTTTTTTTTTTTAAGAACCTGCTTTTCTGTGCAACATCACAGGCGACACGCCAGCATATATGATTCCTCTGACCAGATCCAATTAGTAAGAGAAAACATTATCTTCAAAGCATACATATTGTGAGTCAGTGTGAGAGCAATACGGGGGGCATGCAGTGAAAGACTCCCCTAAACATCAATATAAAGCTTTGGTTGCAACCATGTTATCTCCTGCTGGCTAGAGAGAAACCTTTTAAGAGTTCGTGCAATTCATCTGATAGTCTGAAGCAAACTGCCTGCTCTCTGCCCCCCCCCCTTGTTGCATCCCCCTTTACATTCATGATTCTTTTCATAGATATCAGAAAGCTAGCTCAAGGCTTTCAGGAACAACGCCACTTAGTCCTTAATACACCAACGTCAAAAATATAAGATACAATGTCTTACAAAAAGAACAAACACAAATATAGCAGCAAAATTAGTAGATAGTGGAACTGTACATTCTCTGTACCTTTACTGTTTCTCAAGGAAAAGTGCATACTCCTAGTTGCTTTTTTAAACACTCAGGGTTAGATCCTTGCTACTGCCTGCAGAAGTGCCAGGAAACCTTTCTGACAACAAGAAGATGAAGACGGGAAAGGGAAGAGAGATGCTGCTTCCTTCCCTTCCCACTAGAGCCCACCAACCTGCGTGGCATCCCACCATCCCAGGAATCTACTTTACAGGGGCCTGAACAGATGCAGGAGAGGAGAGGAACACAACCAATATCCACATTCCTTCCGCTGGCAGCAGTTAGGACCCAATAGACAGACATATCATGTATGTTTGTGATAAACAAAAACCTCTTTTCCTTATAATTGTTACAATCCCTCAGCTCTCCACTGCGGAGGGTAAAACGTCTGAGACATCTACAGAGAATGTGAAATTACCATGGTAGACTCTTTGAGGTTTTTTAGTTTTGTTTACTGATTACAAATCAAATAAGCCTGCTGAAACAAATACAATCGATTTCGGACAATGTAGACTTTTCTGAAAAGTTCATACCTCTAAAAACAGGACCACGTGTAACTGAAATAGTCTTGCCATGGTTAGGCTGTTTTATATAACTTGGAACAAACTTAAGCAATTAATTTTGTGAGATTTACTTTGATATCGGAGGGAAATTCCTCCAGGGAAATCCCTAGCAATCAGTTTGTGCAAGTTACAACTGATCCCTAAACACATGCAAGCAATCAAACTCTGGTGTACCTTTCTCTGCATAGTACTGCTGCTTAAATGGTACAATTCTGTTCTGCAATGACAAAGACCAACAGGATGGCAAAATGGTGTGTGCTCTTTGTCCCAAATTCTGCAGACTGCAAAAGATAAATCCCTTTGTCTGCTTGAACAACTGCCT